ACACACTACCCTGAACCCGCAACTCTAAACCCTAAACCTAAACCCCAACCCTAAACCCTAAAGCCTAAAACCTAAACCCAAAACCCAAAACCCTAAACCCTAAACAAGAGTTCTTGCAAGTGAGGTCATCGTGCTAAGCGAGATGCTCGGTGATCAGGCCCACGTGCTCACCGTTTCACTGCTGAGTAACTGGGCAGGGCCTGTTGGGCATCTAGACTCTTCTGGAGTTGATTTGCTTTAGGGTTGAGGGTTGAGGGTTTAGGGCTTAGGGTTTAGGGCTAAGGTTTTCACTAGAGAGCCCTCATTGGTAAAAAGGGTTGGGTTGGGTGATTTTTCAATAGGCCACCAACTTTTAGCCCTGCAGACAACCCTCAGGCAATTAGATCACCCGAGCCCGCGCTGCTACACTCGTCAGGGCTTCCGGGCTTCGAGGCCTAAACCCTAAACCCTAAACCCTAACCCTAACCCCTAAACCCTAAACCCTAAACCCTAAACCCTAAACCCTAAACCCTAAACCCTAAACCCTAAAACCCTAAACCCTAAACCCTTTAAGCCTGGAAGCTTCAGACCCAGAGCTTTGAGAGTAGCCCAAAACCCCAAAGCCTGAACCACCAAGGATGCCTCAATCCTAAACCCTTAACCCCTAACCCTAACCCTAAACCCCAACCCCTAAACCCCAAAGCCTACAACCCCCTCGATCCCTTAAACTCAAAGTGGCCCAAGTCTTAGCCCTAAACCCCAAACCCTAAATCCCTAAACCCTAAACCCTAAACCCCAATCCCTTAAACTCAAAGAGGCCCAAGTCTGCAGCTTCCTCCGGACGATGCGACAGAGTCGGTGCCATGTGTGGGTGCTACGGTCCGGATCTTGTCGTTCTGGGGCTTGCCATTTCTCAGGCTTCGGGCTTGCGGTTCAGGGTTCAGGGTTCAGGGTTTAGGGTTCAGGGTTCAGGGTTTAGGGTTTAGGGTTTCCCTAAACCCTAAACCCTAAACCCTAAACCCTAAACCCTGCACCCTAAACCCTAAACCCAAAACCCTAGACCCCAAGCCCTAAGCCGTAAGCCCTAAACCCTAAACCCTGCCCATGAGCTCAAACCTTAAACCCTCCAGACCCCAAACCCTACAACCTTCAGACATAAACCCCATAACCCCTCACCCAAACAGATTTTTCAGACCCTAAACCTCTATGGATCCTAGACCCTATAGAATCCTACAGACCACACCCCCCATAAAACCCTTCAGACCCTAAACACTATCACCTAGACCCTAAAACCTCAAACCTCCAGCCCTTGCACCCTGCACCCTGTACAATAAACCCTAAACCTTAGTAGGTGCGTAGGCCTCTTTAACTGTTGGGCATCCCGCATGGTGCAGGAACTATATATAATTTCCTCGATCTATATATAAAAGTTCTCAGAACTGTATAGAAATTTTCCAGCAGATGATTCGAAATCGTTCCAGATAGTCCGGAACCGCTCGGAACCGTTCTGGACTACACATGAACCCGACGTTTGTAAGTAGTTCGGAACGGTTCCGAGCGGTTCCGGGCGACTTATAACCACTGTGGGGCTATTGTTGCGGCTTTGATTAACGATGGTCGGCCATGGCGTCTCGCAGCACGGTTACAAACAGTCCAGAACGGTTCCGAGCGGTTCCGGACGATGTATACATAGCTCGGCCAGTTTTATAAGTAGTTCGGGGGAGCTTTATATATAGTCCGGACGCATGAAATCTGTCCCAACAGACCCATGCCCATAAAAAGGCCCATGCACCCACTAACCTAAACCCTAAAAACTCTACCCGAGTAGACTTATAGGTCGGACAGCGACGAGCGCCTGCGCTGTGTCTTGCAGGCCTCGCCTCTACAGGGCTGAGCTCGTTTTTGCCGGGGGGGGTTTAGGGGTTAGGGTTTAGGATTTAGGGTTTGGGTTTAGGGATTAGGGTTTGGGGTTTCGGGCCCCAATCCAGGGGTGCAGTGCAGGGGTCAGTGTTAATTTGTAGGGTCGTGTGTAGATGTACGTCATGGATATGTGCAGTGTAGTGCACTGCTGAGGGCAGTGGGTAGTGTAGTGATAATAGTTGCACCCCTAAACCCTACACCCTAAACCGAAAACCCTAAACCCTAAACCCTAAGCCCTAAGCCCTAAGCCCTAAGCCCTGAACCCTGAACCCTAAACCCTAAACCCTAAACCCTAAACCCTAAACCCTAAACCCTAAACCCTAAACCTTAACAATCAAAATAGTGATGCTCGTACTCGTGTGCCTGTGTTTCGGAGCCCTGCGCCAGAACTTCTGCGACAACAACCTTTGTGTTTGGGAAGCCTGGCGCCCCAGTTCTTCAGAGAAAGTTGGGGCATGTGGGCTTAGTTTAGGGTTTAGGGTTTAGGGTTTAGGGTTTAGGGTTTAGGGTTTAGGGTTTAGGGTTTAGGGCTAGGTTTAGGTCTTGGGGTTTCAGGGTCATGCTGCGCCATGTGAACCTGCTGAGTGGCCAGCGCACCCTAAGCCCGAAGCCTGGGAAGCTGAGAAGACAGCAGGACTCATCAGGAGCCTCTGGCGAAGTCGACGACAGCCGTAGATCACCTCGCGCCAAAGCCTCGGCTGAAAATAAAAGTGCTGTGTTGTTGATTGTTTCTGGGTTCAGGGTTCAAGGCTTAAGGTTTAGGGTTTTTCGGGTTGGGAATTGGGTATCTGGGGGGGGGGGTATTTCGTGTTTGCGGTGTTTTTTTTACGAGTCGAGTAGGTTCGTGGCACATGGCTAGTATAAGCCCAACCACCTTCGTTCCCAAGCCATAGTTCCCTCGGACACACGCCAAGCGGTTGAGGAAGCTTTTTGCTTGAGAGTGCAGGGTTACCTTACAACTTTAGGGTTTAGGGTTTAGGGTTTAGGGTTTAGGGTTTAGGGTTTAGGGTTTAGGGTTTAGGGTTTAGGGTCTACATTCTTAGAATTTGTTTCCTGTCTCCACGGGCCATCCTGCTTGCAAGAAGCACCATCTTGGTCTTAAACCTGAAACCCTAATGCCCGAACCCGCGGAGGGCATGAACCCCAAGGAGTTTGCCTGTAATAGAGACCCCAACAAGGGCAATCTGCAGCAATCTACAAGTACATGAAACCCTGAACCCTAGACCCTGAACCCCAAACCCGAAACCCTAAGACACACACGTCAGAACGAGAGGCAAGCCCTAGCTTTTAGGGTTTAGGGTTTGACCACCCAGGTCAAGGTGTGCTCGGTGAGGAACCAGCGCGCCGCACCCCGCCAGCTTCGACTTCCTTGCTTCCATCCCCAACTTGTGGGGTTCGGGCGCAAGTAAACTCGAATGAAGCCCCCAAAACGCTGAACTCATACCTAAACCCTAAACCCTAAACCCTAAACCCTAAACCCTAAACCCTAAACACTAAACCCGAAGCCTCTTGCAGGGTTTCAGGGTAGGCAGGAGACCCCTTGAATGGGTGAGAGGTTGCACCTGTTGCCATCGCTGGTTGGGTTCAGGTGTTGGAAGTATGGGTTTTGTGGAGGCTTGGGAACCCTAAACCCTAAACCCTAAACCCTAAACCCTAAACTTTAGAGGGTTGGATTTTGACTGTAGGTTTTTGCCGATTTGGGATGCTTCGGGCTTAGCTGCGGAGCTTAGAGTTTCGGTGTTAAGGATTGGGTTCTAGGCATTTATTGCTGGGGTTTGGGCGGGTTGAAGGGTATAGGCGGGGTGGTGTGGACGTTAGGATTCAGAGGCTTCGCTTACAAATCCAGAGGCTGCGTTCTCGAAGCTGCTGCTAGGATTCCAGGACCCAGAGCAGGCCCCTAAACCCTAAACCCTAAACCCTAAACCCTAAACCCTAAACCCTAAAAAAACACTTGTTTTGGGGCCTGGGTTCCCTTATCTACGCCCCTTGAAGCCAAAACGCCTGATGAAAGCACTGAGCAGCTCCGAGCCTGACTCTCTCGAAGCACCTCTGTCACCGGCAGAAGGTTTCCCTAAGCCCTTAAGCCCGAAACCATAACCCTAAACCCTAAACCCTAAACCCTAAACCCTAAACCCTAAATCCTAAACCCTAAACCCTAAACCCTAAACCCTAAACCCTAAACCCTAAACCCTAAACCCTAAACCCTAAACCCTAAACCCTAAACCCTAAACCCTAAACCCTAAACCCTAAACCCTAAACCGAAACCCTAAACCCGATACCCTAAATCCTAAATCCTGAACCCCACACCCGCACTTGAAACTGGAACCCAGGGCGAGAGCCCATCAGCCATCCAACCCTACACCCTAGAAGCCTGAACCCTGGAGACTTCAGTGTTTAGGGTTTAGGGTTTAGGCTTAGCGTTTAGAGTTTTCTTGGGTTTTGGGTTTAGGGTTTAGGGTTTAGATCAAATCCTCAGTCCCTCTGGGCGCTCCCCAACGCTCGGAACCCTCTACGGTGGCGGCAAACCCTGAACCCTATAAACCCTAGAACCCTCTTAACCCTACACCCTGAACCCTAAACCCTGGACCCTAAACCCAGACCCTAGACCCTAGACCCTAAACCCTAAACCCTAAACCCTAAACCCTCACAACAATGGACCTGCCTATGGCCCTCTTCACGGGCGCTCCTCGAAGAGGCACGGAACCGAAAGCGGTGGGAGCCGAGGGGCTTGGGGTTTAGGGTCTAGGGTTTAGGGCTAGGGTTTAGGGTGCAGGGTGGTTTGGGTTTAGGAGTTAGGGTTTAGGACTTAGGGTTCAGGGTTTAGGGTTTAGGGCAAGAACACTGAACCATCCTCACTTCGAACCTGGGTGCGGTTTTGTGCTGGGCATAGGATTGAGGATGCAAGGTTTCGGGGTAAGGTTTGGGTTGAGGGTTTAGGGTTCAGGGGTTTCCCTAAACCCTAAACCATCAACCCTAAGCCCAAAACCCTTCAGGGTTTAGGGTTTAGGCTGGTTTAGGGTTTGGGGTTTGGGGTTTGGGGTTTGGGGTTTGGGGTTTGGGGTTTAGGGTTTAGGGTTTAGGGTTTAGGGTTTGGGAGGTAGATGTCTGCAGCCGCGCCCTTCCTTGTCAAGAGGAGTGGACGTCAGGCAGGTACCAGGATTTGAGCTGGGGGGTGTTGGTGGGGGACCCATCGGGCTGACAGGGTGAGGTGTTCTTTGGGGCGGGGGGCGGGGGGGGGGGGTGACATGTTTTTTGGGGAGTGGGGGGAGGGGGACACTTTGGGGCTTTGGGCGGTTCTCTTGGTATGTTTGTAGCGTTTCAGGGTGGCAGTTTTTCGGGGCTGGCGGGGGTTGGGGTTTAGGTTTGGGATCTGGGGCCGTGTTGGTTCATGATTTGCTTCAGGCTTGCAGGCGTTGTGCTTGAGGGTTTTGCACGTAATCGCTTCAAAATTCAAGTGTTCTTGTTGGCTATACCTGAAGCCGAATCAAACTTAAACCCCAATGAAATCCTTGGTGATCACACTGGAATTCTCACACACGTTTGTGGGGGTCGGTTTGGGTTCGGGGAACAACAGTCGAAACCACAGCAGGGGATCCTAACATGGGGGGGGGGGGGGGGGGTGCTGCCAGGCAGAGGTGCAGCAGAACTGGGAAAGCAGGGCGCTCAGCCTCTTTCTCCGCGCGGCACGCCTCACCGGTCGGAGAAAGACAAGATGTGGGGTGTTTCTCGGGGTCCTGTTTGGCGTCATAACGTATAGGGGAATATTCAGTCATAGAGCCTCCATGATTTTGATGAGCCCCAATGTGGGATAAACCCTAAACCCCCTAGAAAAGCCGACATCTTACGCAACCCATGCGTCCAGTGCAATGCAGCTGTCTGATTCAACAACCCTAGAACCCGAAACGTCCTGAATCTCAAAGCTTAGACTGTACAACCTGGCCCCTAAGCCTAAACTCGTAGTCTCTGAGTCCCGAAAGCTTCGCGAGGCTTAGACTTAGCACGTGTTTGCGGCGCCGGTGCCCCAGTCAAGCCGAGGCGGTGCTTTCACTGGTCCTTCGGGTTGGGTGTGGGTTTCAGGGTGGAGGGTGCGGGTTAAAGTCTGTTGGTACATTACTATATAATACTAGTGATTATCTTATTATCTGATTTGATTATGTGAATATACGTTTTATGAAATTATATGGTTCTATTGGACTACAATATTGTACGTCGTATTATAGCCAACAGCATCGAAGATGAATGTGCAGAAGATGACCAAAATTCCGATTCCGGAGTCGCATTTTGTTCATGGTCCTCCTTCGTCAAGTGTCAGTGTAATGTAAGTTGAGGTCAGCATCTGGAAATTTCCGAAATTCGGGGTACCTTGTTGGGGAGGGAATCCTACAATTTGGGTCTAGATTAGGAGTCCCCATATTTTCGTAAACCCCCATATCCCTCAACCCTAAACCTTGAACCCTCCCGGCCCTCCCCAGGTCACCTGCGCAGTGGATATAGCGCTGGCTGCCGGCAGCCTCAGCTTAGAGTTTTGGAGGCTCAAGGCATCGAGGGCACCCTAAACCCTGGCCTTCGGGCCCAGCGCCAAACCTTAACTCTGAGGGTTTTGGGGTAGTTTTTGTTTTGTGGGTGGTGTTTGAGAGGGATCTGAACCCTAGAAGCCCAAAGCTTATAACCCCTGAAGCCCCCTCGACCCTCCAACCCTAAACCCTGGAACGTAAAACCTCTTTAGGCGACTCCTTGAGAACCTAGGCCCTTGAGGCTCGGAACACAGAAGCTCCAAGTCGTGGCAAAGCCCTACCGGTCTGGGTCCTCTTGGAGGATGCTGCCCTACAATTCTAGCTAGGGTTTAGGGTTTAGGGTTTAGGGTTTAGGGTTTAGGGTTTAGGGTTTAGGGTTTAGGGTTTAGGGTTTAGGGTTTAGGGTTTAGGGTTTAGGGTTTAGGGTTTAGGGTTTAGGGTTTAGGGTTTAGGTTAGGGTTTAGGGTTTAGGGTTTAGGGTTTAGGGTTTAGGGTTTAGGGTTTAGGGTTTAGGGTTTAGGGTTTAGGGTTTAGGGTTTAGGGTTTAGGGTTTAGGGTTTAGGGTTTAGGGTTTAGGGTTTAGGGTTTAGGGTTTAGAGTCCTGAAGGCCCGGTAGAACCTAAGCCCTAAAGCCGTAACCCTCTCAGCCGCAACCCCCCCCGCCCAAAGCCCCCAGACTGCTTTTCACCCCCACCCGAAAAGCCCTCCTTAACCCAAGAAGCCCAACCCCTCCCCACAGTTTAGGGTTTTGGGTTACCCTAAACCCTAAACCCTGAACCCCCAAACTCCTAGAAGATCAGGTCGTGTCCTATCCGCTCTGGCACCTGAAGACGCGGGAGCAGGTCCCATCCAGGGAGAGTTTGTCGAGGGCTCCGGGCCATGTTTAGGGTTTAGGGTATCGGGTTTAGGGTTTAGGGTTTAGGTTAGGGTTTAGGTTTTTTTTTTTTGGGGGGGGGGGGGAGCCAGGGTTTCTGGAACCCCGAAATCCCCTAAACACCGGCTTCTAAGATCCTCGAGACTCTACACCCTCAAAGCCCCAATGCCCCAAACCCTAAACCCCAAACCCGATTATAAAGCCCAGCCCCCCCCCCCCCCACCCCTAAACCCTAAACCCTAAACCCTAAACCCTAAACCCTAAACCCTAAACCCTAAACCCTAAACCCTAAACCCTAAACCCTAAACCCTAAACCCTAAACCCTAAACCCTAAACCCAAAATAAAATCCCTCCGCCCCAACAGAGCGGCGGACCGAGGTCTTGGGAGGCAGCGCTGCCTCCCACCTTCGCGACCTCCACCGGCACCATGGGCTCCTCGGCAAAGGCAAATAGGAGGGTTTACGGCATGTTCTACTTAGGGTTAGGGTTTAGGGTTTAGGGTTTAGGGTTTAGGGTTTAGGGTTTAGGGTTTAGGGTTTAGGGTTTAGGGTTTAGGGTTTAGGGTTTAGGGCTTAGGGCTTAGGGTTTAGGGTTTTAGTGCTCAGGGCAGTTTAGGGGTTTAGGGTGCATACGGTTTAGGGTATGGGGCAGAGGGTTTAGGGGTTTAGGGTTCAGGGGTTGTAGAGGTTTGCTCCAATGCAGGTCCTTTTATAGTTCCTTTTCTTCACAGGATTAACTAGAGCCATCTGCTCCCCCAAAACGGTGCTGCGTGGAAGCCCTACAAAGCCCTGAAGCCACCAACACAGCAAGAAACAAAGCGACCCTAAACCCTAAACCCTAAACCCTAAACCCTAAACCCTAAACCCTAAACCCTAAACCCTAAACCCTAAACCCTAAACCCTAAACCCTAAACCCTAAACCCTAAACCCTAAACCCTAAACCCTAAACCCTAAAACCTAAACCCTAAACCCTAAACCCTTAACCCTTAACCCTTAACCCTTAACCCTAAACCCTAAACCCTAAACCCTAAACCCTAAACCCTAAACCCTAAACCCCCAAACCGAAACCCTCAACTCGAAGCTCGATATAGGCCCCCGACCCCCTTCAAGTTCAAAAGCGCGGAGACCGCTCGCAAAGCCGCTGAATCCTGCAGCTTTTCGGCTGAAAAAAGGCTGCCTGCGTTGAAACAGGGATTTCGGTTGAATTGAGGGTTTAGGGTTTAGGGTTTAATGTTTAGGGTTTCCTGCTCTGTAGCCACCTACCCTCTCGACATCCCAAACAAACTGTTTCAGATTTTGCCTGGGTAAATACCCCTTGGGATATTCCATGCTTCTATGCTCTCCCTTCTGGGGGTTAGAAGGACCATATTTCGGAAGATGTTTTCCGAGGGTTTTCAGAGCGCCCTCCTAGTGTAGCCAGCCAGGAGATGCCCTCCCCCGAGCTCTCGCCTGATCTCCATGCCCTGCAGCGGGAGTTCGAGCTCCTTCGGGAGCAGCTGCGCGAGGAGTTCAGGGAATTCGCGGCGCGCCTCAAGGCTATGGAGCTGCAACTCCAGGGAGAGGGCTGCAACAAGAAGGAGGAGAGCTTACCCGGAGCAAGCAAGACGGAGGATGGTATTTGTTCCTTGGGGACGAAATTTGAACCCTAAAAGGGCTTAGGGTTCGTATAGCCTTTCTAGGAATTATAGTAATATAGGGTATATGACCCCAATTTTAGGTTTCCTTTCGTCCCCAAGGTTTGGGGGTGACGGCCCCGGAAGGAGGGGGAGATCAGGATTCAACTCAAGACCCAGACGAAGTGGGTGAGATCTACTTGGGTGAGAGTGCCTGGACCTTTCCGGTCATTCTGGGCTTGACGTCCGCAAGCGCGCTGGATGTCACCTTCGCGCTGCTGCTGCTTCTGATAAACCTGGGCATGCAGATCATGTTCGCGTACGTTATCCTGGGACCCAGTTTCATGGGTTCCCTGGTAGCCCAGTGGTACCCTTTTGCTTTTTTTGGGTTCAAGATTCCCTTATAAAGTAACCAACCCCCAAACAGGGCGTCCTTTCTTTAATATTTTTTACTGCGCTACCAAGGTGCAGGTTTTGAGGAGGAGATTCAGGCCGCCCAGCGCTGGCGAGATGGAATCGCCCATGATTACAAGTACATGGATCTTTCGCAGACGAGTCTGGCGACTCGCGTTTGCAGCGCGGACGGAGCCCTGATACTGTCTACCGTGCAGGCAACTTTAGTCAACAATATCAACAGCTTCCTTGGTCTAGGCACCCAAGACTTCGAGCCGCAGTTCTTCCAGCCTGGCATCCTGCTGTGTGTGCTGTGCATACTTCTCTGGAGCCTCTGTGTGTACAAAGAGTTCAGGAGTATCCTGCTGTCCATGGAAGCCATCTCGAGTCTGCCTCGGGCCCAAACCACGGTGTATCATGAGAACAGAGTTTGCAAACTCTCATGGGTTCGCTTCCAGATGCTCCTGGCAGCATTCTGCAGCCGCGCTGCCCTTGCATCGGTGCTCCTCTATGCTGGCATCCGGTGGCTTGCTCGCACCACATCGATCACGGACTTGATGCTGAATGCCGTGGCGCTCAATGCCATACTCGACGTTGATGAATGGCTTTTCTCTGGCTTCACACCTATTTCCATAGAGCTGGCTGTCAAGAAGCTGGAGCCTATCAGAGTCACCTACAGCCGGCGCCGAAGTCAAGCCGAGGCTGTCTTTCTGTTTGCTGTGCTGCTGGGTACCCTGCTGATACCGTATCTTGTGCTGCTACAGCCCTTGGGACAGACCATGGCTGCAGTAAAGTATGAGCTCTGCGGGGGCATCCAAACCTTCGTGCTGGCTCAGAATGCTGAGACGCAGGTGGCTAGGACCCGGAGTAAGTAGGCCCTTATTTCCTTTCTTTAGGGTTGGGGTTCCCCTTACAATCGCCTTTACACCAAAAAGGGCACCCTTGTTATTCCTAGGTTACTCCTGGGTCTAGAGGTGGTGACTGGTTTGGCTACCTCTTCCGGCCGTGGCTCGGAGATCTCTGTCATTGAGAGGGCCGTGGGCCGCCACAAGTTCAGCAACCCTGAGGAGAATTCCTACTATATCTCCTTCCAGCCTGGCCAGATCCTTGGGGACTAGATGAACCCTAAAATTGGGGGTCATATACCCTATACTACTTTAATTCCTATTAAGATATGTGAACAACCCTTTTAGGGTTCAAATTTCGTCCCCAAGGATTCAGTTCGAAGCGCAGAAGAACCATGACATGCACTCAGACCAGGAGCAGTGGACAGCCTGCGTAGAGACAGACTTCATGCAGCCGGGAGGTTTCTTGTACCAGGACTGACTTTCATGGCGTTGTTTTCTGAACAGTGGGTCTAAACCCTAAACTCTCAACCATACAAATCCTACTCCTACAAACCCTAGAAACCCTTCAAACCCTAAACCCTAAATCCACCCCCCCCCCCCCCCCCAAAAAAAAAAAAAAAACACACACACACACACACAAACGGAATTCTAAAATTAGGCAGCTTGACAAGGACCCACTCATGGCGCGTCTGGTCACCCCGCGGCTTCATACGGCCCTGGCGATGTTAGGGGAGTTCCGCGAGATCTCAAACTGCAGCGAGGCAGGGTTTGGGTTTTAGGGTTTAGGGTTTAGGGTTTGGGGTGTGGGGTTTGAGGGTTTAGGGTTTAGGGTTTAGGGTTTAGGGTTTAGGGTTTAGGGTTTAGGCTTCAGGGTTTGGGGTTTAGGGTTTAGGGTTTAGGGTTCAGGAAATCCAGGAAGAAACTTTCTTGAAGTGTGGACGCCAGGGGCCGTCTTCGGTCTGCAAGCTCTTTTGTGTGTTGTCGGTTTTGGGTTCAGGGTTTAGGGTTTGGGGTTTGGGGCTTAGGGTTTAGGGTTAAGGGTTTAGGCTTTACGGTTTAGGGTATGGGGTTTAGGATTTGGGATTTAGGCTTCTGGGTGAAAACTGATGTGAAGGAGGGCTTATATTACCGTTATTGGTGAGTGCCTATACGGTTCCTTTTTAGTATCGGTGAGTATATGTATTGGGTGTCCTTTTGGGGATACAAGGAATGTAAACCCTACTTCATGTGGCCTGCCTTCACTTTTGGGTCGGGAAACTGACGCGAGTCTGCCGGGGCGGAGGGGGGCCGTTGGCATGCGCTTAGTTGGGGGAAGTTTTGGTTTCAGCGTTCAGGGAAGTTTCTAAACCCTAAGCCCTAACCCTAAACCCCTAAACCCTAAACCCCAAACCCTGGACCCTGAACCCTGAAACCCTAAACCCTTGCCCTCAACCCTAACCCTAAGCCCTAAACCCCTTTAAGAGGTCCCAAGCATCCCTAAGCTCAGGATTCATCCCCACTTTCGGGTTCTTTGTCCTGTGTTCGAAATCGTTTCCTCGCCTCAGTTCTGCGGCACACACCCCTGCCTTGCCCACTTTTTGGGGGGGTTCTACTTTGGCCTTGGCATTGTGCTGAGCTACTTTTGGCCCTCGAATTTTTGGAACCTACACCCAGAACCCTAGATCAACCCAGCCCTGCCTTGCGTAGTCTGCAGGTGCGACATCTCTGCGATTTGCCAGAAGCCCGCTTGCTTCGCATGGTTTGCGGGGCGACCTGCGGATGTACGGATCCACAGAGCCAGCCCTTCCACAAGGTATCGGGGTGGTTGTGATACAAGCAGCGGTTTAGGGTTTACGGTTTATGGTTTAGGATTTGGGGTTTAGGGCTTAGGGTTTGGGGTTGTTAAGGGTCTTTAAGGGTTTAAGGTTTAGAATTTAGGGATAGTGTAGGGTATGGTGCCGTTTCTGGTGGTGGCTGGTTGGGCTCAACTTCGGGCATGCTTTCTGCGACTTACAGGGACAAGAGAGTTGAACCTTGAGGTTATCCGCGGTGGATGCACTGAGTCCTGCTTGAAGAGCGGGAGGGAGGCCCTGAACGATGTGGCCTGCCTTGATCAGGAGCCCGGTGACCGCTGGCAGGTTTCTTGGTAGCCCAGTGGTACCCGTTTCCCTTTTTTTTGGGGGGGGGGGGGGGGGGGCTCAAGATTCCCGGAAAAAAAGTACCCTTATTATGGTATGGCTCCTGGCCTACCCAGGTTTTCTGGGACACCTATCCAAAGGCTCTGTCGGACTTCTTTGGCAACGACATGTCAGAGACGGTTGTGTACCCCGCCATCCAAGCGCCCCAGGGCCGCAAGTAAGCTCGGAGAGGCCTAAACCCTAAACCCGAAACCCAAAACCTCAAACCCAAGGGCCCCTTAAAACAAACAGCCATTCAGAAGGGCTTAGGTTGTAACCCTAAAAGTTAAGAACCGTACAACTATCAACCCCTATAAACCCCCATAGCACGAGCATACAACCCCTATAAACCCCTATACAACTATCATATAACCCCAAATAGAACCATCATACAACCGCTACAAACCCCGATAGAACTATGATATAACCCCCATTAACCCTAAACCCCAAACCCCAAAGCCTAAACCCTAAACCCCAAACCCTAAACCCTAACCCCCACAAACCCCCATAAAAAAACTCATAAAAGCCCTAAGCAAGGCTCGTGGTCGAGATGAAGGTGCGGGGCTGTCCTGGCTTACAAGATCCCCAGCTGGAGTTGGAGATCACCAGCTCCTTGCGGGCTCTTACAGGAACTTCTCAAAAGGAGTTATAGGGGTTAGCTATAGGAGTTATAGCAGCTCCTTGTGGGTTCTTAAAGGAACCCCTCAAAAGGAGTTATAGGAGTTATAGCAGCTATAGGAGTATTGGAGGAGTTAGTCTGAGTTAGTTATAGGAGTTATAGGGAGATCACCAGCTCCTTGTGGGCTCTTAAAGGAACCCCTCAAAAGGAGTTGCAGGGGGCAGTTATACGCTTCTTGTGGGCTCATAAATGAACCTCTCAAAAGGAGTTGGGGGGTAGCTATAGGAGTTCTAGGAGTTGTAGGGGTTGCAGGAGTTATAGGAGGTATAGGAGTTGTAGGGGATATGCTAGGAGTTTAAAGGAGTTATAGGAGTTAAGGTTTCAGATTTGGGTCTCCAGGTCCCATCTACCCGAGACCCATCTGGGTTCGCCTTGGGGCTCCCGAGGCTCTGCGAGATGGTGCGAGGGCTTCGCGCCCCTCTTTCGCCCCCTGGCTTGGATCTGCCCCCAGAGTCTTAGCAGCTGAGTGAGTACACTTTACATATTTTTGGGATACTCTAACCCCCCATACTTTCAGTACCCCCCACAAAACTGAAAGTATACACTTCTTGGGGGGGCTTATGAACTCAGCAACCAAGGAGCTGCGGCTGTGAAAATGCACTCCACGAGAGCCTTCCCAGCTACTGCCCCGGCGCGTGCCTGAACGCGTCCGCGGCATGACGGTCCTGGAGCTGGTTTCTGTCGGGCTACCCCAAAGGGTCCATGTACCCCTTTGTGGTATATACTTGGGCCTTAAAGGGGTTCCCATATAGTAGCTTTAGGGCCCAAGTATGTACTATATGGGTACATGGACCTTTGGGGTACGACGCATGGCCTGGCGCTGACGTACTTTTGTTTTCAAGGGCCGAGTCTCAGGCGGGTGTGCTCCCCCTCTGGCTTTCTGGCGCGGTCTGCTTCTGGCACTGGCAAAGTCCATGATGATGCTCGCCGCGGTGCCCAGATTCTGCGCCAGGCCTCACCTGGCGTCTCACCTGCCCCATGATTGCTGCTGTAGCTGCAAGTGCTGCGGTTTGTCAAATGCATGGTCCGCGGTTTAATCCCAAACCCCAGGGCTTGTTCAAATCGGTGCTCGGTAGCCATGGCGTCCTAAACCCTAAATAAACCCTCAGCCCTAAACCCTAAACCCTAAATCCCCCGCCCCTCCCCCCCCCACTCCCCACCTCCAAAAAAACCAAAAGCAGCGTCCGAGGTGGCCCGGGCTTTATCGCGGGGCGCTGTTTGGAACTGTGGGCCTCCTGCGTGGGCCCCTGGTGTTTAGGGTTTAGGGTTTCCGAGGTTTAGGGTTTCCGGTGTTTAGTATTTCCGGGGTTTTCGGGGTTTCGGGGTTTTCGGGCTTTTCGGGATTTTTGGGGTTTTCCTAGGTGGGCCCCTAGGACAGTTTAGAGTTTCCCTTATTGGGTTTAAGAGGATCATATCGCAGAAATATCATTTTCACAGGGTTTTAGGGGCCATCGTGGGGTTCAGGATTTTCGGGTTCGGGGGGTTTAGGTTCAGGGCTTTCGGCTTCGGGGTGTGAGGGGGTGTAGGGTTTCTCCTTAAGGATTTTGGGGCTCATTTTTTGGGGATTTGGGGGGGTGGGCGTTCGGAGACTTGGTGCCTGTTCTGGGCTTCGGGGCCCTACAACTCGCTAGGGGTTTAAGTTGGGGCGGTGGGGGGGGGGGGGGGGGGGGGGGGGTTCAGGGTTCAGCCCCTATAGTCGCAAGCCACCAACAAAGTGAATGCCTTTGGGCGGTTCAGGGTTCAGGGTTCAGGGGGTTTAGGGTTTAGGGTTTTAGGGTCTAGAGTTTAGGGCTTACGAGGCATTTGCAAGATCAAGACTACTGCAGCTCCGGCGCGGTTCCCATTCACGGCACCTGGCCTTGGTAATATGAGATGGCATGAGCAACACACCCAACGTCTTGGAAGGCTGTTGGCACCCTAAACCCTAAACCCTAAACCCTAAACCCTAAACCCTAAACCCTAAACCCTAAACCCTAAACCCTATAAACCCTAAACCCTAAACCCCAGATCTGCCCAGCCGCAGATCAGGGGGAGACGCTGGAGTTGAGGGTTTTTTGTGCTCCATACCAGCTGTCCACGACGGCTTTTGCATGCGAAGCGCAGAATCGCACAGTCTAAGTTCCAGAGAAGGCAGAGGGCTCAGGGTTTGGTGTTTCGGGCTGGAAGAAGCGCAAGAAGTAGGGAACCTGTTATCCTTGCTAGCTGCTAGTCTCTGATCTGCTTGGGTCACAACCCCAAGAATCGGTCCACAATCAAAGGGAATGCACATAACTTAACGACGGTCCTCGGCGGCCGCCCGCAAATCTATGTCGTGATGCCATCTAGGTTTGGGGAGAGTTAAGCATCATTCCTTTTCGGCGATCGCCTTGCATTAGTTAAACCATGCCCTGAGCCAGGAAATCTATTCCGATCGCTCGCAAGCCATACTGCAGGATTTAGGCACTGAACCCCATGCCCAGACCCGAAAGCCCCAAACCCCAAACCCTAAGCCGTACACACCCTAAACCCTGAAACCTAACACCCCAAACCTCAAGCCCCAATACCCGCGAAACCCGTAAACCCCAGAGCATCCCAAAGCCCAGAAGCACCCAAAAAACCCTAAACCCTCGTCCCTAAACCCTAAACCCTAAACCCTAAACCCTAAACCCTAAACCCTAAACCCTAAACCCTAAACCCCCAAAGAACCTCACTCCATCAAGGCCTGGTTTCTGCTGCTGGGTGGTGGCCTATGAGTGGCCGGGTGCCTGACGGCTCACAGGGCAGGGTTCAGGGTGTAGTGTTCAGGGCTCAGTCTTCAGGATGGTTAAGGGCTTATAGGGCTTACGGTTTAGGGTTCAGGGTTCAGATTTTTTAGGGTTCAGGGTTTAGCCCAAGGACAGTTCCCTAAAGTGCGGTTTCTTTTGGGTTTTTGGGGGGTCTACCCTCAGCAGACAGGGCTGATTGAACGCAAGAAAGGGCTTCGGACTGCAAGGATGGGGAGTCCTGGTTCTTCGCAACTTTTCCTAAATCCCACGCAAAAAAAGACGCGAGGGCTTAGGCTAGAGGTTATGAGCCCTACTCTGCCTTAGGGTTTAGGGTTTAGGGTTTAGGGTTTAGGGTTTAGGGTTTAGGGTTTAGGGTTTAGGGTTTAGGGTTTAGGGTTTAGGGTTTGGCCCGAAGCCCCAAACTCTACGCCTGACCCGCCTAAGTCCAAAACGGGACTGGGCCCCAATGAAAAGCCACGCAGCCCTCAGACCCTAAACCTCAAATCCCAGTTTGGGTTTAGGGTTTAGGGTTTAGGGTTTAGGGTTTAGGGTTTAGGGTTTAGGGTTTAGGGTTTAGGGTTTAGGGTTTAGGGTTTAGGGTTTAGGGTTTAGGGTTTAGGGTTTAGGGTTTAGGGTTTAATTAGGGTTTGGGGTTTAGGGTTCAGGGTTGATGGTGTAGGGTTAACCCTGGAAGACTCTAATCTAAAGCCTGTACCCAAGCCTTCAACCCTACAAACCCTGTAGGGCTTGAGCTCTATGCACGGTTTCGATCTTTCATCTTTGGGTTGTAGGTCGTTTATTCCACACGAAATCGGAAACCCCCGCCAGACCTTGAACCCCCAGACCCTCGCCCCAGGCCTCAAACCCAAAGACCCCAAAATAATTCGTAGCCTCAAACCCGAAACCCTAAGACCCTGTATCAAATACACCGAAACTACCGGGTTTTGCCCCCTAAACCCTAAATCATCCTAAATCCTAAACCCTAAACCATAAACCCTAAACCCTAAACCCTAAACCCTAAACCCTATTTTATAAACCCTAAACCCTAAACCCCAAGGACAAAGTGGCATGCCGCCCGACTCCTCCCTTCGAGCGCAGCCCCGGGTGTGGCAGCGGCAGTGGGAGAGTGTCCCGGGCCTAGAGGCTTTTGTAGCCCAGTGGTGCCCTTAGGGTTTAGGGTTTAGGGTTTAGGCTTTAGGGTTTAGGGTTTAGGGTTCAGGGTTTTTAGGGAGATTTCAGTAGCCCAGTGGTGCCCTTTACCCTTGTTTGTTGGTTCAAGGTTCCCTAAGACAAAGTAACCAACCAAAAAAGGGTGCCCTTGTTAGAACATGGATACCGGCCTACTAAGGAGAGAAGTCTGGGGTGCAGGGCTTCGGGGTTGATGTGAGAAGAGGGGAATAGCATACAGAAAATCCTAAATGTTTCCCCACCCTAGCCTGATCGTTAGGGTTTGGGGTTTAAACGTGAAACCCTAAACCCTATAAACCCAGGCTCTTCAGGTCTAAGGTCCAGGCCTACACCTACATTATATGCTGGGCTTTGCTTTACCTCGTGGGGTGCGACACATATGAAGACTTCTTAGGGGGGTGGCCTTCTTCAAAACCCTGTAAAAAACTAAACGAACTCTAGCACTTTGAAGCGACATGCTGCAACCGACCACCCTGCCGCGAAAACCCAGAACTAGCATACTGGAAATAGTGCGCATAGTTGTTTGGCTCTACTTTGTTAGGTTCATTTCTATGGGGCTGCGAATCCCGAACCCTAAACCCTAAAACGTAAACCCGAGCATTGTTTAGTGGAGGTTCGACGAAGTGTTGACATTCAGGAATACGTTGCAAACATATCTTTAGGGCTCAGGGTTTCAGCTTTAGGGTTTAGGGACCACGAAGAGGGCTCTAGTATTCAAAAGGCGGGGTCCAGGAGACCCTCAACGGTAAGCCCTAAAGCCTAGGTTGCTGGATAGCGCTGGCAATGCCCGTCGAGAATGCCCGGCGCCAACTGGGTTTGGTTTAGTTTAGGGTTTAGGGTGTTAGGATTGTGGGCTTTGGGTTTAGTCCGAGCATCTGTTTAATAAGGTGGGCCCCCCACCCCACCCCCCCCACCCCCCCCCCCCACCCCCCACCCCCCAACCCCCCCCCCACCCCCCCCCCACCCCCCACCCCCCACCCCCCCCCCGCCCCAACCGCAATACGAAAGGCAGGGCGCCGCAATAGCAAGACCATGGCAATGTATTGATTCTCGATTACAAACAATAGGAATGTATGTAGTTGCACCGATCCAAACTCCAGCTCGGCAAGCAAAAGAAAGAAGCTTGCCGACAGATTTTTAAACCTCCCCCCATCCGATTTTTCCTTTCAATGTGGTGGTATTGGCCCATACGAAAACAAAGGTAATGGAAAGCAGTCTTCCAGCGGGATTCTCGACGAACAAAAGTTCTCTGAATGTGAGTGTATGAGACAGATGCTCGGATTCGAGCGTGGACACCGTTGGGAGTATGGATTGTATCGGCTTTAGGAATAGAGCCCGAAACACCCAGGGTTAGGGGTTCATGGGCTCAGGGTTTAGGGTTAGGGTTTGTATTGTCTAGGGTTTAGGGTTTAGGGTTTAGGGTTTGCTGTGATAGGGCGTAGATGCTGTGAAGGTTAGGTTTCGGAACAAGCTCGAAAGCTTCGTGAGGTGCGAAAAGCAGCATTGGCCCGATTGTGGAGGGCCATCTAACACTTTTCTCCCACCCCACGCCGTCCAAGGCGGCAAAGCCACCCAAACCTATTTCTTTTAGGGTTTAGGCCGAAACTCAGACAACAGCCCACTTCTAAAAACTGAGGCAGGATCAGGGAGGGTTGCAGCAAGTTTCAGAGGGGTGGGCTCGGCCAGGCACCCAGTCCCGGCTGTGGTGAAGTGGAGGGGCAGGCCTGGGGTGAGAGAGGGGTCAAGCGGGCTACACAAACCAAAAAGGACCAGGCAGAGCGGGTCAGGGGGACAGGGGGGTGGGGGGGGGCCAGGGGCCAAGGAGGCCAGGCGTAGGGGGGGCCCAGGGGGCCGGTACCAAGTCCCTGAGCACGCTTGCGTTGAGGGTCCGGGGTCCTCCTGGCCTAGGGGCCCGGGGGGTACCAGTACTGGTCCCGAAGAGAACGTGTTCCGGTACCGGGCCCATTACCGACCCCCATGCTGTGGGAGGCGGGCGAGCGACCTGGGTCGGCTTGTGCCATCGCCTGAGTTTAGGGCTTAGGGTATTTAGGGTTTAGGTTTAGGGTTTAGGGTTTTATGGTTTAGGGTGTCGGCTTAAGTTGGCCGTAGGCGGTCGGGGTACCCCGAGATTTCGGGGGGCCCTGCAGGTCAAACCTCGAGAGGAGGATCCCCAATCAGGGAGCGGCCATACCCCCTTTACGAATACTTAACCCGGCAATTCCTAACACAACCCTCCTCGAAAACCCTCCTAAAACCCCACACCCAACAATCCAAAGCCCTTACGCAAAAAAGACCCTCCTCCAAACGCCAACTGGAACCAACCCTGAACCCTAAACCCTAATGGTCCTAAAGTCCAGGAATCAGCCCAATAAGAAAAAATGGCTGCAGCACCGGGCTTAGGTGGCCGTTCGAATGCAGTGCCGCGAGGCTTCCGCAGGGCCCCCATGGAGGGTGAAATCCTCCGCCTTAGGGTTTCGAGGCTCAATGACAGGGCTTAGCTTAAGTTTCCCGGTGTCTGGAGGGGGGGAGCTTGTCTAGCTAAACTGCCCGTATTATTTTGAAGGAGCCACCGCAGGCTTTACGGCTCAAGGTTTTCTAAGCTACCCTCACATACCAGGATGGGCTTTTCTACCCTATGATCCCTTAACAGGCCCTTTCTAGGGTTCGTTATGGGGATTTTAAGGCCTAATAGCCAATCCTGGTAAGCTTTCAAAGTCAGCCCCTTTTCCCCTTCTCACTGCCCTCGGAGCTGCAAGGTCCTAAGACACGCGAGCTCCTCAACCCCCGAAAGCTAAGCCCGAGGTTCCTCAACCCAGGCCCAAAATCTTCAGCCCTAAGACCCCTCAATGACTCATTTAGGGTTTAGGGTTTAGGGTTTAGGGTTTACGGTTTAGGGTTTAGGGTTAGAGATCCCCAAAGCCCTAGCCCTCAACCACTGTGGGCATATCTCTGCCCATCTCCCAGGCCCCACTCCTTCGTCCCGGCGTTGGGAGACCCCAGATTTGCTTGTAGGCTCAGGGTTTTAGGGTTTCGGGTTTAGGGTTTAGGGTGGCCCTTGGGACATTTCGTAATTTCTCTTATTGTGTTCAAGAGGATCGCATTCAGGGAAATTTATTCGGAGGGTTGTAAGGGCCATCCTAGTAGAGTGGGGGGGCCGGACGCAGTCCTTGTGTTTACGCGTTACACCTGCGGTTTGGTTCGGTTTGCTCTAGGGTGGAAGTGTCGGTTTTAGGGCATTTTTTGTGCAGGTCCGGCATTTCGGGCTTGAGGATGGTGGGTTTTTATTCGGGCTTTGGGGCTGCAGGGCTTTGGAGTTTGAACGAGGGCTTTTTCGAGCTGAAGTCGGGGCCCAGGCTGTCTGACTGATAAGTTGGGCTGTGCTCTCTCACGCTGCAACACCTGGCTCCGGGAAACATCATTGCCCCGTCCGTCGCAGAGTTCAAGCGGAGGAAAACTAGCAAGCGCTGTCAAGCAAACGACGGACGGTCTTAGTTGCAAAAGAGCCCGAGCTTAAAGTTTTTGGCTGTTGATTGCCCGCGTACAGGTCATGACCTGCATGTTCCAAACCCGCTTTAAACGCGAACCGACCCCAAAGCTCGTAGCCCTATATTGGATGACCCTCGATACCCCATGTAGCCATGCAGAAGCGTGAAGTAACCACCCGCTAAGACCCCGAAAATTAGGCCCAAAACCCTATACACCCTGAGCGCTAAGCCTTAAGCCCTAAGCCCTATAAAACCCTAAACCCTAAACCTGCACCCAGAAGACTCGAAGTCCGAGGCCTCTTGGCATGAGGTGCAGACGCTTTGGCGGGACCGTCCTTCCCGAGCTCCCAGTAGGGGATTCTTTGAGAGGGAGGGTTTGGTGTTTAGGGTTTAGGGTTTAGGGTTTAGGGTTTAGGGTTCAGGGTTTAGGGTTTAGGGTTTAGGGTTTGGGGTTTGGGGTTTGGGGTTTGGGGTTTAGGGTTTAGGGTTTAGGGTTTTCAGGCTCCTGAAACGTTCAAGGTTTCAACTTTCGGGGTGTAGAATCTACGAGTCTTGGGGTTGTAGGGCTGCAAGGATTTGGCCCGAAATTCTGGATGAAGAACCGGTGTGTGCAGGAAAGGCGGGGCGACCTTCTTGCGGCTTCTGCAGCTTAAGGTTTCGGGGCAAAGCTCCCGGGCTAAACCTTCAACCCGACCCCTCAAGCAACATCAAAGCCCCTCACATCCTCTCCAAGCCTTCGAAACCCTTGCAACCCTAAACCGAAACATCGAACCTAAGGCCCAAACCTTGGGATGTTCACCCTTATACTAACAGTCCTTAATAAAGATTTAGTACCCCTAAGCCTAACCCTAAGCCCACACCTCTAAGTCTCCCGCCTCGGTTTTTGAACACGGCTCGGGGCAGGAAGGGGGCCCCACGCGCTGTTGGAACGGAGGCTTACTAGGCCCGATGCCACGATTGCAGGAGTTCGGCCCAAGTGTGCTGGGTTTAGGGTTCAGGGTTTAGGGTTGAGGGCAGGCTTTTGGGGTTGCGCTTCCCGGCTTTGTGGCGAGGAAGGCCCATAACTCGGCGCTTGAGGTCATATTGGAGCCCCCTGTTAATCCCTGTCTAGCCATCATATGCACCCCTAACCTCAAAACAATACTTTAGGGCTAGAACTTTGGTCTTCAGGTTGAGCCGGGGGTGGGTGTGTTTGAGGTTTGCTGTTCACGGTATATGCTACTATATGCTATAAGAACACCCCCAAAATCAGAAACACAAAGAGGTTTGCAAGGTTTATGGGCGGTCCTTAAGAAGTAGTAGTATAGCGTTTACAAGGTTGCGGCTCTGACAGCGAAGGTGGGTCACGGTACAATACGCGGCGATCAACATGTGTGTGCTTGCTATTTTCCGATCTAGTTGCATGGGCGTTGGCATCAGCACCGGCCTGCTGAAACGTCGTCCTCGACGTGTACTTATGTATCTCCGAAGGGATTCCTGCAACTGCTCTCTCCATGGTATGCTCTCCTGTTTGTCAGCAAGCCGGAAGCAAGCTTGGTCAGGGCAACAACTGTGAAAACCTCTTTATGATTGGTCGTCTGTCCTTTCCGAACTTAGTACAGGACAGTCGTCCCGAAAGCCTACCTACTGTGCACAGGCCTTGCATCCTCACTTCCTCATTCGGCCACATGGTGGCGGCCTTATCCTTTTTTTTTTGGCACGGCAAGAGGTGTTGTAATCTGGGTGCCTTTGAGGGGTGGTTTTTTTTTTATCAGAGATGAAGCACCAAGTGGCTAAACTTAACCCTAGCCGAGGTGGCTTGTGTACGAGAACTCCAAGTCCCAGCCTCAAATTGCGAAACCGCCCAGGAGCGGAGCGGCGTTTTTTCAGAGTCCGCCTTCTGGGGTTTAGGGTTTAGGGTTTAGTGGGGTCTAGGGTTTAGGGTTTAGGGTTTAGGGTTTATGGGTTTAGGGTTTAGGGTTCAGGGTCCCTCAGCCCTACAACCCCTCAACTCTGAGCCCTTGCCTGCAATGCCCAGAGGTCGTTTCTCCTGGCGAGCAAAGCTTTCGACCAGGTGGCCCGCAAGGAGTTGGGGGAGGACTGAGGCTCAAGGCTCAGTGCGTAGGTCGTGTTTAGGCTGTTTGGGGTGTAGGGTCTCGGGTCTAAGATGTGGGGGTTGGGTGGGGGTTCGAAGTTGGGCTTGGGGGGATCTAGGGCTGCTGACTGGGGATTGGAGGGATGCTTGGGGAGTTTTGAGGGTTTAGGATGTTGCCGTGTTTAAGGCGGTATGTTCTGGTGCCAGAAAAGGCGGGGCTGGTGTCAAGCGTAGGAGCTCCGGGGCAGTTTACGGCTGGTGTTTATTGTTTGGCATGTCGCAATCTACAGTGTGTCCTGCGAATCCAGGCGCATGTCACCCACGTTGCAGCCCTCTCATTGCTTCTTAAGCCGGCTCACAACCCTAAGCCCTAACACCTAAACTGCAAAACCCTAAACTCCTAAACCCCAAAGCCCGAAGCCTTAAGCCCTGAGTCCTTGCAGGTCCGTCCGGAAGTTAAACAAGGCGGCCGCCAAGTGAGATGCGACTTGTGCATGAGGGGTAGTGTAGAACCCAAAACCTCTCATTGGGGGTATTCTTTCCCTTGCTAGGGTTTTTCAATTACTGCATGGAAAGTAGGGAACCCTCAAGGGGTTGGGGTGCCGTAGGAGTGCATCGCGATCTCGATTACGTATTACATGGGCCATTCGACACGTCCTTTCTTGACACCGCAGCTTGCAGATTCCACTCTAAGCCCCAAACCCTAAACCCTTAACCCTTGATCCCTAAACCTTATTAGCATAGGGTATATGATCCCCTGAACCCTCAACCCTAAGCCCTAAACCCCGAAACAACTTCCTGCTGGCGCTCGCGCAAGGCGTGGCAGCCGCGGGTTGCGCAGCTGCCGCCATCGCGGCTTCTTGCGCAGTGGGCCGAGCTTTGGGGACCAAGCTAGCCCTAGGATCCGACATGCTCCTCATAGGGTTTAGGGTTTAGGGTTTAGGGTTTAGGGTTTAGGGTTTAGGTTTAGAGTTACGGCTTACGGCCCAGGGTTAGGGGGGATCACATACCCGATGCTACGAACAGGCGATTAGGGGCTACAAACCTTCTTGAGGATTGTAGTCTTCAAGGAGGAATAGATGCTGTTGTCGAGGTTTTTCGTCCTAGGGCTTTAAGCTTTGGGGCTTTATCTTGAGGTTCCCTTCTTTGCTTCTTTTCAGGGGCTTGAGAGGTGGTGTAGAGTTCGGGTTTCGGGGAATCGGAAGGATAGGGTTCCGCACGCATGCCCTGAAACCTTGCTGATGTATAGTTCAATTCAGGGTGATGTAGGCCCCAAACCCTCATCCCCACGGTGCGTACCCCTAGAGGCCCCAGACCCTAAACACTTCGACCCATGCCCACCTCCGACTCTCATCCTAAGCAGTAAAGCTCAATTCCGAGACCCCAAAAGCCACAAAGCCTCAATCAACCCTAAACCCTAAGCCCACCGACTTGAAGCCGACAAGGCCACGACGCTCCTGCTGAATCCGCTGGACGTGGTAAAGTCTCAGGTGCAGGCGCTCGCTACCCATAGCTGGTGGCCATGTCGAGTTGGGGATTTCAGGTTTTCGGGGCGCGAAACCCCAAAAAAAGGAGCGCGCGCGCGCAAAGCTTCGGGGTATTTGGATGTAGATTTCATGGTTTAGGGTTTTAGGTTTTGGGTTTTCTGGGTTTTGGGGTTTTGAGGTTTTGGGGTTTCGGGGTTTTGGGGTTTTGGGGCCTTGGGGGCTTCGGGTTTTGGAATTACGGTCTTTTCAACCGGGGATCTTGAATGCCTCTCTGGGCAGGCTGCTTCGTGCAAGGCAAGGCAGGGAAGGGGGCAGGGGTTCGGCTTTTGCGAGTTAGGAGAAGGCTTAGGACTTAGGATTTAGGAGGGGGGTTCAGGGTTTGGGAGGGGTGGGGGGGGGTGTCCAGGGTTGGGGCTTGTGGTTTCAGAGCTTTTGGGGTTTAGAGCTTCGTTTCATGAATTTGTAGGACCAAGTGTGTTCTTCCAGTGAGTTCACCGTACACACCCAAGTTTCAGTGCCGGGAGGGCCTACAGAACAGACATGAAGAGAAGCACGTCTTCACCCACTGATGCCCACGATCCTGGCCGACTGATGCCTTGATGCTCGCTTGCTCGCTTGCCCATCTATGCCGGAAAGGTCCCCCCCCCTACCCCCTGATGCCCTGATGCTGGAAGGGCCCCATCTCACTGATGCCTCATCGCCTGCCCCGGAGAGGCCCTGCATTGTTTAGGTTTAGAGGTCTACGCCTTGTTGGATCCCCATGCCTTGAACCCTAAACCCTGGAACCCTGAACCCTGTATTGCACGCCAGGAGAAAATATCCCTGCGCCAGTACTTTGGCGGTCAGCCGCGCGGCCGAAGTTCTGTCGTTGGGTGCAAGGTTGGTTTACTACTGTCTGCTTAAGAACCCCCCCCCCCCCCCAAAAAAAAAAAAGACTGTAATCATCCCTATAAGGGCAATATTAAGGGGGTTTGTTTTTCTCTATTTTGTTGGGTGGGGTTCTTAAGCAAATGGTTGTTTAGGGGGAAGCAGGCTTAGCAACCTCTCATGAGCAATGCCGCGGGTCGAGGGTTTGGGGCTTTCCCAAACCATGAAAACGAAACCCGTTAGGGCTTTAGGAGCCTCAAACAAAGTCGTAACTCAAACAACCCCCAATGTCCAGACTCTCAACCCTGAAAGTCCTGAACCCCGCAAAAGTCATAATCAGCCCGAAATCCCCCCAAGCCCCCCAAGCCCCCCAAACCCCCCAAACCCCCCAAACCCCCCAAACCCCCCAAACCCCCCAAACCCCCCAAAGCCCCCTAAACCCCCTAAACCCCCCACACCCCCCAAACCCCCCAAACCCCCCAAACCCCCCAAACCCCCCAAACCCTGAACCCCAAACCCTAAACCTTAAGCTGACCGCGAAAACCCCAAACCCTAAATCCCAGACCCCAAGCAAAGCCCAGGTCCCTAGCTCGGCTCTTCTTGAGGGGGCTGGGCCCGCGGCTCTCTCCTCAGATGGGATCCTTGGTGTAAACCCTAAACCCTAAAGCCTAAAGCCTAAACCCTAAACCCTAAACCCTAAACGCTAAACGCTTAACGCTAAACCCTAAACCCTAAACCCTAAACCCTCAACCCTCAACCCTGAACCCTGAACCCTGAACCCTGAACCCTAAACCCTAAACCCTAAAGTCCAAGTCTGACTCCCTTGACCTAAACTTTGGACCTTTAAACCCTGTACCCTAAACCCGTGCGCCTCATTTTGGGGTTTACTAGGACCGGGAGTATTCTTTTTTTTCGTTTTGTTAGGGTTGGGGTTTCCTTATAATCCCCTTAAAACCAAAAAGGGTACTCTTTTTATTCCTAAGGGGGACGGGGGGGGGGGGGGAGTGTTGCAGATTGGGATCCCATGACAAGGGTTTTGATTTGGGCGCGGGGCTTCGTCGAAGCTTTACAAGGTTCAGTCAGCTCTAGAGTTCTTAAGGGGGGGTATGGTATGTAACCCAAGATTCCCTAAGGCTCAGGGTTTAGGGGCGGAAAATCGTGGATTTAGGCGCCCTAAGCCATAAACAGGACGAGCCATCCTGCACTCCGACCTCTGCAAGCTCCTAGACCCCAAGCCCTAAACCCCAAACCATAAAGCCTGAACCCTAAACCCTAAATCCTACACCAACTAAATCGGCACAAGGTTAATCTTGGCTGCGGCACATGGCCTGTCGGACTGTTTCACTTACGAGGTGCAGCTCTTGGGGGGGATAAACTGGGTTTTGCAGTACTATACGTTCATATTTTTTGTTCTGGGTTCCTATTATAGCTACTTCTATCTAACAAAGTAGGGTAAACCCGCGCGCCCAACCCTTCACAGCCCCCCACATGGTGAAGGGTTTAGGGTTGAGGGTGCAGGGGTTGGGGGTTAGGGCACTGTTCAGGCCGACTGAAGCCTGAATGTGGGTTGCTTTGAAGTAGTTAGGGTCCCTGCAAAAAAAAACGCGCCAACAGGAGTGAATCACAACCGGAATGCCAACCCCCCAGACGCTGAACCCTAAAGCCAACCCTGACCCCCCACCAGCGCAAAACAACAAAGCCTTATGCCCCCTACGCGGGGGTTTTGACCAAAATGTCGGTTCTTTTGTGGGGTCTCCTTTGCTACCACAGGCCTGCACGTTGGATTCCCCCCCCCCCCTGAAAGAGTAGTGGTTGGGTGCATCTGACGAGGCATCAGCGCAGGGACCCCTAAGCTCCCTGAGCCCTAAATCCTAAACCCGAACCCCAAACCCCAAACCCTAAACCCCTCTTGCCGCAAGGCCACGATGCACTTCGGAAAGAGCATGCCCTGAGATCTGAGCTTCTGTCAGGTATGCGGCTTTTAGGGTTTAGGGTTGAGGTCTTAGGGTTTAGGGTTTAGGGTTTAGGGTTTAGGGTTTAGGGGGCGCTTTAGGAGGTTCGGATTCAAGGGTTTCGGGCTGAGGGCTAAGTTTAGGGTTTATTCAGTCAGATCGGAGGGTGTGCTGTTGGATTGCCGCCGATGCTTGCTCGGGCTTCTGTTTAAGGAGCTTAAATTAAATACGTTTCCATAGCGAGGACATAAACGGTCATACAGTACCCTTATTCAAGAACCCCAAGATAGTACAGTGCCCTGTAAAGAACCCTTAGTGTGCCGATAGAGCCAAGGCCCTTAAAGTTTGCCAGGTCGGTTTGAATAAGGTCACATGTGGCGGTATGGTCTTTGTTTCTGGGTCTCAGAGAAAGGTATAGACTGTGCCGCGTGCAGCGCTCGATTCATCGATTGCAAAAAGGCGTCTGCAGACCAAGATCTGCTTAGTGCTAGGCCCATGGGGGCCCACAAAGCCTGAGTACATAACAACTGGCGTATCAAACCCTAAACCCGAAACCCTACCACCCCTGAATTAAGACTTGTACGCCTTCAACCCTCCTTATCACAAGGCCGGGACTAACCGTATTCTTACAGCAGAATAGAATGTCATATATATATATATACACACATTTATGTATATATGTATATATATATATACATATATATACACATATATATATATATACACACATATATAGCCACACCCTTACCAGCCTCGCAGCCCCCGCCGCAGTCTCGCCGGGCGTGACGACCTTCACTCCTTCACGCTGCAGAGCTGAGAGCGTCCAGCACGCTGGGGGAGTGCCTGTGGGCTGCTTTAAATGCCCATATATGGGTTTCGGGTTTAGGGTTTAGGGTTTAGGGTTTAGGGTTTAGGGTTTAGGGCTGTAAGAAGCCTCATCAGCTTCGAACCTGAAGCACTTGTACATGCCTCGAGGATTTTCTGGGGCAGCAACTGAACCCGACAGTTGGCATCATCTACCGACTGGGAGGAGCATTATAAAGGGTAGTTTCAACCCTGAATCTAAACAAGCCCTATGAAGAACCCTGTAAGCTCTATGAACCCTGTACTGTAAGCTCTACTTCCCCCCCCCCCCCCCCCCCCCCCCCCCCCCCCCCCCCCAAAAAACGGACCCTCCTCACATGTCCATCCACCGCCATGTGAGGTAGCGGCTGGTTGGGAGGGCGGTGCCCGAGACCCTAAACCCTAAGCCCCAAACGGGTGGCTTGCCTGTGCCTGGTGGATGCGGCAGGGGTCAGCTGCCCGGTGGTTCTTGCAGAGGGTTTGTTTCGGGGTTAGGGCTACAGGTTTCGGGCTCAGGGACCCTGAAACCAAGAACAAACTAACCCCCACAAAGAACAGCCACTCCCCCAGCGGAGTAGTTTTTTTCTTGTTCGACGGTCCTTTGGTGGTGCAAGGCCTGGCAGAAGAAGCCCAGCTCACTTAGTAGGTCCCCCCCATGCAACAATCTGCAACCTGATTGTAGCAGTTTAAGTAATCTGCAAGGGCTGACAACTTATTTCAGCTAATTGATTGCTTTTTCGGGTATAGGCCCTAAACCCCAAACCCTAGACGAGGGGCGATTTCAAGAGTAGAAGAACCAACTGAAAAGCCCTGGCACCTCGTACTCAAAGCCCAAACCCTTGTATGCCCTCACCCCAAACCCCAAACCCGAAACCCGAAACCCTAAACCCTAAACCCTAAACCCTAAACCCTAAACCCTAAACCCTAAACCCTAAACCCTAAACCCTAAACCCTAAACCCTTTTCGGGTTTGCTACGCCCTGCACAGATAGCCGGCCAGGCCACCGAAGGGAACCGGGCCCATGCTGCGTCGTTGGAGGGGCCAAGGAAAGGGCGGTGGAGCCACGAGTCCCCCCGTAGGGTAGGGTTTAGGGTGTAGGGTGTAGGGTGTAGGGTTTAGGGTTTAGGGTTTAGGGTTTCGGGTTTAGGGTGTAGGGTTTAGGGTTTGCTGTGATATGGCGCGGGCGCTGTGAAGGTTGGGATGCAGGGTAGCCATGGCCCGATTGTGGACAGAGAGCCAGGAGTGTTTAGGTGTCCAGAAAGTTCAAGAGGATCCTAACGAAGTTAGGGGGATGTCCAGGCAAAGTTTCAAGGCCCACAGGGCACGACGCCAGGGTTAGCCGTACTCATGGTGGGGGCTACCGACCTCCGAGCTGCGGGAGGCGGGCAAATGACCTGGATTTTGCGTCTGCATCGAGGTGGAGGGGCTGAAGTGCGTCCCCGCCACTGGCTGGCGGGCCTAGCAGCCTTGGGTTTAGGGCTAGGGTTCAGGGTTTCGGGGTTAATTGGGGTGTAAGGAGTTAGAAGATCAACACATACTTTGGTAGTTCTACAGGGTAGTGTGGCCAGCCGACGACGCTGCCCAACCTGTCAATATACAATTCAGCAGCTGCAGATGTGTGAATTCGCAGTTTTTTAATTGCACGTGGTGCTGCCCTGGGCCGCCATGAGGCCGAACCCGAAGCCCTATAAAGCCTAAGGCCGAAACCCTAAACCCTAACTTCCATCTTCAACTCCCCACTCCAAAGCACCCAAATGCTAGATATGACATTTTCAGATGACCGCCGCCCTCTAAACCCCACTAGTGCACTCTAAGCCGACTCGGAACCCAAAAGCCATAAACCCTAAATTAAGCCGCCTTTCTCCAGGCCTTTGGGCACCAAAGCGCGGAGAGAGTCTCAATGAGTGTGTTGTTGAAACCTGTGTAGGATTGCATTTTTTTCCGGTTGGGTTGCGGGTGAAGGGAGTCTTAGATCAAGGTCTGAGCGGTCCCCCATGATGCACAGGGTGGTGCCGAAGCTCCGCTTGTAGCTTTCGAACCTGAAAGAAAATGGCCCCTGCCGACGAAGTTGCTCAGGAGCGGCGAACGCTGATGGGGTTGCGGGGTTGCAGGGTTATTGGGAACCATTTTAGGGTTGTGGCAGGCTTATGGGGCTTGAGGCTTTCATGATGCAGGGTGTAGGGTTTCCGCCTCTGCTGCAACGATTCCGGCTCTTTTGACACAGGCAGGAAAGCGGCAGTGTTTACCCATTTTCGCACTCCACGAGCAGACCCCCCCCCCCCCACTGCAAACACCCCACTCGGCTATAACGCCAGAAGCTGTCACCCGCAGACATCACCACAGTGCAAAGAGCTCACAAAGCCCAGGCAGCCACTTACAAAGTGAGGTTTGGCATTTGAGGGCCCGGGTTTATAGGGCCCCCAGGGCTTCCCTCTCGGCGTTGTCCGTAGCCTTGGCGCTCGGCATCTCTGGTGACAGCCCCGGACTTGCTTTAGAGTTTAGGGTTATTTAGGGTTTAGGGTTTACCCAGAGGCTCCTATGTAGTACCTTTTTAGGGTAGTATACTGGAATCCCCTATAACCAACCCAAAAAGGAACTACATTGGAGCCTTTGGGTAGGCCGCACAACTGGGCCATGCTTTGAAGGGGGCGAGATTCCTCGGGCACGCGCGGTGAATATGGAGCCCGAATCCCGACACAAATCCCCTGACCTCAGCCTAGGGTTTAGGGTTTAGGGTTTAGGGGCTAAACGAAACACCCTAAACCCTAAACCCGAAACCCCAAGCCCTAAACCCTAAACCCTAAAGAAGGCAAAGTTTGGAGAGCAAGGGGTGCTTCGGCCGGCTGGTCTATGGGTTGAGGCGGTTTAGGGTTTTTGTCATAGAATCAAAAGAGGGTTTAGGGTTTAGGGTTTAGGGTTTAGGGTTTAGGGTTTAGGGAGATCTCCCCACCCAAAATCTTTAGGCGGGTAAGGGATGCATTTGTGTCCTTGATTTTTCCGGGCGTGTTGAATAGGGACCAGGTTCTCGGAGCTACGTAACCTCAAGAAAACATGATTCGGCTGCGACCAAACCCTAAACCCTAAACCCTAAACCCTAAACCCTAAACCCTAAACCCTAAACCTCTCCTACCATATAATTATAAACCTTAATGGTATTCGTGGGCAAGGCCCAAAGATTCGTGGGCAAGGCCCAAAGATTCGTGGGCAAGGCCCAAATATTCGTGGGCAAGGCCCAACATCCGGAGTTTGGGCCTTGCCCACGAATTTTTGGGCCTTGCCCACGATTTTTTGGGCCTTTTGGTTCGTGGGCAAGGCCCAAATATTCGTGGGCAAGGCTCACAAATTCGTGGGCAAGGCCCAAAGATTCGTGGGCAAGGCCCAAAGATTCGTGGGCAAGGCCCAAATATTCGTGGGCAAGGCCCAAATATTCGTGAGCAAGGCCCAAATATTCGTGGGCAAGGCCCAAATGTTCGTGGGCAAGGCCCAAATATTCGGATTTTGGGCCTTGCCCACGAATTGTTTGGGCCTTTTGGTTCGTGGGCAAGGCCCAAATATTCGTGGGCAAGGGCCAAATATTGGTGGGCAAGGCCCAAATATTCGTGGGCAAGGCACAAATATTCGTGGGCAAGGCCCAAATATTCGTGGGCAAGGCCCGGCCTGGAGCCCCTCAACCCTTGAGACCCTAAACCCTTGAGACCCCCCTAAACCCTTGAGACCCTAAACCCTTGAGACCCTAAACCCTTGAGCCCCTAATCCCTTGAGACCCTACAGCCTTGAGTCCCTAAACCCTTGAAACCCTAAACCCTTGAGACCCTAAACCCATCAGTTTTGATGTTGAGCATCCTAAAAATAAGAAGAAACCTTGTATTTCTTAATGTTATGGGAACTCCGGGTGGGTGGGTATATTTCGATGGTCTAAACAGCGAACCTAAACGAGAAACTGCTCGACCAGGAGCTCTTGAACCCTAAACCCTAAACCCTAAACCCTAAACCCTAAACCCTAAACCCTAAACCCTAAACCCTAAACCCTAAACCCTGCACTCCGAAAAGGCCATGCTGCTCGGGTCTTCCGCGGATCTTCCTACTGTACAACATATGACGGATTCTCGCAATTGGGGGGGCCTTTTTTGGGTACAATATCATATATATATATGTATATATATATATGAACATATTCTGGGCTTTCCAACATGTTGGGTGCATCCGCGCGGCTCAGGCGATGGGCACAGCTTGCTGTTCTGAGGCCAAGCAGGGGCAGAAGGACGGCCCTGTGAAGAGTTACCGTAAGCATTTTCCCAAAGAACCCCAGGACCCTCAAAACCCTAGAACCCTAGAACCCCAGAACCCTAGAAACCTTAAAGCCTAAAAGCCTCTCAGGAGCAGTTGGGCGGAACGCAGCCCATTCCCTCGGGCACGCCGGCGCCGCAGCAGCAGAAGGCTAAGAGTTCGGCACAGGCCCGAACTTCCCCCCCCCCCCCCGCCCTCCCCCCCCTGCATGAAGGGAGTTCAGGAGGTTGGGGGGTTTTGAGGGTTTAGGGGTTTTGAGGGTTTAGGCGGTTTAGAGGGTTCAGGCGGTTTAGAGGGTTTAGAGGGTTTAGAGGGCTTAGTGTTTAGGGGGTTTAGGGTGTTTAGGGGGTTTGGAGGGTTTAGAGGGTTTAGATTTACAGGGTTTAGAGGGTTTTGGGGGTTTAGGGTTTTGGAGGTTTCTTGGGTTGATTTTTGGAGTCCAGGGAGTTCAGGACTTTTGCGTGGGTCTTTAGTGGGGCGTTGAGGAGGAGTTGAGTGTATGCCGAAACCCTCAACCCTAAACCCTTCAGGAGCGTAGAGTTTATCTGGGAGTGCTTGGTGCTTGCTCATGGCCTTGGATCCCAGCCCTTAAGCCCTTTGGTGTCTGGGTTTTGGGTTTTGGGTTTTGGGTCAGGTTGAATTCCTAGTGTTTGTGTCCGTTGCAGGGTAGGGGCCTGAATCCCAAGGCCCCCCAAACCATGTGAAAGGTCAGGAGGTTTTAACCCCAGCTTGCATGCACCCTAAGCTAAGCCCCGAACCCTAAACCCTGAACCCTAAACCCTAAGCCCTAAACCCTGAAACCCTGAGCCCTAAACCCTAAGCCCTAAACCCTAAACCCTGAACTATAAGGCCTTTAGAGCACCGTCCGCCCTCTAATTTGCACCTGACGCAGCCCGGAGCTCCTGCGCAAACAGATGGAGACAGCTACAACTACAAGGCTGGGTTTGGGGTTTGGGGTTTAATGGGGCTTAATGGGGTTGAATGGGGTTTAAATGGGGCTTAATTAATGGGGTTTAATGGGGTTTAATGGGGATAGGGTTTCGAGCCAGGGTTTAAGGGGGCTTGGGCAAGGTCTGGGGGTCCTGGTTTCGTGTTTGCAGCTCTCGTGGGGTTTGAAGAAGCATATCGCCGCCAAACCCTAAACCCTAAACCCTAAAGTTCCCTGGCAGGTCTTCCCAGACGGCTCCAGATACGAAGGTCAGTGGAAAGATGGCCTGAAGCATGGGAAGGCGAGAGGGCTGAAGGGGCGCAGAGGGTTTCCCCAAATCCTCCCCCCTACCATAGGGTTTTGGGTTTAGGGTTTAGGGTTTAGGATTCAGGGTTTAGGGTTTAGGGTTGGGGTACTCCCCAGAATGTAAGACAAACAGAGTTTTGGCTGTTGAGCCTGTTCTTGCAAGGCATGGCTTGGTTCAGAGGTCTGCAGATGCAGCCTCGGAAGGACCCAGGTTTCTGAGTCCCCAAACCCCAAATCCTAAACCCTGAACCCTGAACCCTAAACCTCAAACCCTAAACCCTAAACCCTACCCCGCCACAGTCACCCAGAGCAGGGCCGGTTCATCTACCCCGACGGCGACGTCTACGATGGCCGCCGGCCCAGGGATTTTGGGGAAAGCCCCACACCATCCGGTTCAGCTTAGGGGTTGGGGTTTAGGGCATACCCGCCCAGGAGAGTGGCAAGATGGCAAAGCACACGGCCGGGCACTTAGGCGATGTTGGCAACAGCAGGTGGTGTGAAAACCCTTCAAGGCCTCAGAAGCTCTCAAGCAATCAGAGTCCTTAGAGCCATAGGGGGGAAGCACTGAGAACTGGACTCTGGTGCCGCCTCGACCTGAAACCCTAACCCACATAACCCTTAAACTAGCCCTAGACCCTAAACCCGGCGAGGTCACGGCACTTATACCTCCAAGCAGCACGGGAGCCCAGAGCTACCTCGCAAGGGTTTTTCGTTTGAGGTCGAGGGAGGAGTCGAGGTAGGGATCAGGGTTTAGCGGGTTGAGGGTTTGAGGTATAGGGATTGAGGTTTGGTTGAGGCGCCGCTGGATGCAGCTTGGGGCTCAGAGGCTTTTGGCTTCAGAAATGTTCACGGTCCCTCAACCCTAAACCCCACAACCTAAACCCGAAAGCCCAAGCAGGCCAAACACCAAAGCCCAAACCCTAAACCCGAAATTTAGGGTTTAGGGTTTAGGGTTTAGGGTTTGGGGTTTGGGGTTTGGGGTTTAGGGTGTCCCCCCCGAAAGGTCGAAGTATGTGGGCGAGTGGCAGAGCGACTTGAAGCACGGCCAGGCTGTTGAGGAGCCCCTGAAGTGTGGCGCGGGGGGGGGCGGGAGGTTTAGGGTTAGGGTTTAGGGTTTAGGGTGTAGGGGTTTAGGGTTTAGGGTTAGGGGTTTAGGGTTTAGGGTTTAGGGTTTAGGGCTTCGGTTTTAGGGTTAGCATCTGGGGCGCTCCGGGACATGCTTGTGAAATCCACACCCCGAGAGCCCTACCAGCCAGCCCTTAAACCTCATGACTGACTTTCACGACAAGCTTCCCTGGGTTTTGGAGTACTACACTGTAGTACTGTTGTTGGTTCTGGGTTCCGATTATAGCTACTTCTACCTAAACTTAAGAACCAAGATGCCGTGCTTTCAGCTTTGTGGGCAACAGCCCAGCACTAAGTCTCAGTAGCTGAGTGGGCACACTTTACACTTTTTGGGGTACTACAATCTCCTGTAGAACTGAAAGTGTACACTTTTTTGGGGTTTCTGAACTCAGCAACTAAGAAGTCCCAGGAGTGGGACGACACCTCCAAGTATACCGGGACCTACTCCCATGGGCAGAAGCACGGCAAGGGCAGGCTCGGCCATGAAGAGTCGGTAAGCTCATATGTTCGAAGTCCTAAACCCTAAGCCCTCAACTCTAAACCCTAAACCCTAAACCCGAAACCCTGAACCCTAAACCCGAAGGGTTGCCGAGCCCTGGCCTTTTCAGCGCCTTTGAACGTGGCAGGCTTTTGGGCTGTTGTCTAAAGGTTTTCTTGCTTTCGTCGGTGTAAGGTTTAGGGCTTAGGGTTTATAGGGTTTATAGGGTTTATAGGGTTTATAGGGTTTATAGGGTTTAGGGTTCCGGGTTTGGGGTTTAAGGCTGCCCTATACCCTCCTTGGAGTTCTTGGACAACGTGAACATGGGGCTATAGTGCCCTCAGAGGACGCATCGAACTCCGAAACCCTTTAAGGAACATTCACGCCCCTGAGGCCAAGACGGCTTCTTTGGTATGATCCCAAAATCCTGAGTTTAGGGTTTAGGGCTTCGGGTCCTGAACCCTCCACCACACCCCCTACCAGCTGAAACCCCTTCATCCTGAACTACGGCTTTCCCTTTCCCAAGCTGCCGGCGCCTGCTCGACGGCCTTGCGCAGATTCGAATGGCCCGACGGTTCCGTGTATGACGGCGAGTTCCGCAACAACAATGCCGGAAACCTGGTTCCGGAAAAAAGAGCACCCCCTTTATGCACGGCAACATGCTGCAACCAACCCTTGCCAGAGGTACGAGAAACCGACTCCTGAAATCCCGGAGCCCTAAAATCGTATTAGGGTTTAGGGGAACAGCCTACCCCTAAACCCTGCACTGCTCTCGTGCCCATTCTAAACACACCAATAGGAGGTTCTCTAAATTGTGGTCCTTCTGGGGATACTAGTACAGTGCGAAGCCTTATATATACGATACCCAAGGAAAGTCAGAGAGTCCCCGAAATAGACATTGGGTTTGGGGTTTAGGGTTGTATGATGTATGTCTTCACGTTCCCTTGCGACCGCACAAAGCTTTGTCAAGAAGGCAGCAGCAAACCCCCAAGAAGTGGGCAAGGGAAACTCAAAGAAAGCACCAACAAGCCCCAATGAACATGCCAGGGTTGGGTAGGTTTGGAGTCGAAGCCCAAAAACCGCCGAATAGTTGCCCAAAGTTCCAGTTCAATGAGGGTTTAGGGTTTAGGGTTTAGGGTTTAGGGTTTAGGGTTTAGGGTTTAGGGTTTACTGCCACAGCAGCTACGATATGACAGCCAGGGGAAGGGCGGCCTGTTCGGTGTAGGGTCCGGGCCTTCAGGGCTTAGGGTTTAGGGTTTTCTTGTTTTGGGGTTTAGGGTTTGGGGTTTAGGGTTTAGGGTTTAGGGCTCTGGACCCGAATCCCAGCACCCTGTACCCCAACACCCTAAGCCCCAAAATCCCTACACCCTAAACGCCAAACCCTAAACCCCAGACCCTAAACCCTAAACCCCCATCTGGTTTCCGATTACAAGGAATCCTGCGATTTGGGTGTCCATTTTCTGTTCGTAAACCCTATGGGGCTTCGCTCTAGAGGCTGAGGGCCATCCGTCCTGAGGTTGAAGGCGAAGGCACCTTCACATGGAAGGCCAGGCTTGTTCAGAAGGGTCTAGCGTTTAGGGTTTAGAGCTGAGGGTTCAGGATTTAGGGTTCAGGGTTCAAAGTTTAAGGTGTAGGGTTGAGGGTTTAGGGTTTTCAGAAATTGTATAGGGTTCGTGCCCCAGGAACGCTTTGAGCGACAGTTTTGAACGAGAAGCGTGTTGTGAAATTCAGAGTTTGCGTTTTTCGGTGAATTTTGAGTATCTTGGATTTTGGATAGTTTTGGATTTCAGATTTTCTGAGGATGATTGGCAATTTCATATTTCAAATCGGGCAACCTTCCTGAGGCGCTTTGGATGAGTTTTCTCAAGCTGGGAGACAAGCTGTGTGGACAAATAACTTGGGAAGCTCAGAATGGTGCCACACACAGTTTCCATGTATTGTGTCTAGTCCAGGGTTTAGGGTTCGGGGTTGAGGGTTTAAGGTTGTTTTGGTTGCTGGGCACTCAGTGGCTACTGAATATCCTCGGCCCTGCCGCCCCGGAAGAGGCACGGTTCCGGAAAAAATTCGGGCTTTAGGCTTTAAGCCTTTTTTTGGCGGGATGGGGGCGCGGGGTGGGGGGCGAGGAATTCAGAGTTGAGGGTTTGCGGGGCTGAGACACATACTCTGGAACGGGAGGTTGCAGGGCATACAGGGTTCGGGGATTTGGGGCTCCGGGGTTGAGAGTCAGGGCTCATAAAGGGGCTTCTTTCGGGGCGCCGAAGCCCCTTCAAACACCGGGAAGGCACCGCTTCGTAGCCCCTCAAAGCCGAGCACCCTAAATCCCTAAATATGCGCCCGCGTTCCGCATAATCGACCCCCCCCCCCCCCCAATGGTATCCCCCCCCCCCCCCGGCAACCCCCACCAAACCCTGCCTATTAACCCTAAAAACACCACGGGGGGGGGGGGGACAGAGAAGCCTCAGCCTAAACCCCACACCCTGAACCCTAGCCCTAAAACTTAAACCCACCAATGAACGACGGGAGGGAGAAGGGTAAACCCGAAACCTTTGCTGCTTTAACTCTGAACCCTCAACCGTAAACCCAGCACGAACCACAGGGGGGAGAGGGGAAACCGTAAACCTATCATTACCCCGAACCTTGAACCCAAATCAAACTCTAAACCCACAGTGAACCAATGGACCAGAGTGAAAATCCTGAACCCTAAAGCCTAACCCTAAACCCCTAAACCCTAACCCATGAACCACAGACCATGAACCACAGAGGGGGGGGGAGGGAACCCAAAACCCACCATGAAACCACAGGGGGGGGGGATACCATGGGGGGGGGGAGGGGGGGAGGGGGGGGGGGTGCGCCTATGCTGGCCCAAATATCCCAAGGAGCCCCCCGCCATCCCCCACCCCTTCCAAGAGCTGGCTTCAAGGGGTTTAGGGTTCAGAGTTTACCATAGGGGAGGAGCCCCCAACTTCCCAGAAGCTCCAAAGAACAACAAGTTTTTACTCGGAGACTTTGGGGGGGGGGCCTTTGGGGAAGTTATGTGCTGTGGTTGTCTCGAGACTTGTGGGACATCCGCCTCAGAACAATTTTTTCGTCCACGTCGCAGGACGGCCGACAGTACAAGGGGGAGTGGGTCGACAACCGCGCGCACCTGAGCATGTCTATCCAGCACGGGCGTTCGGAGACCCACGTTACGGAAACTTGGGGTTAGCTCAGGCCCCAGTTAATTACTTTCAGGATATGAAGGTTCCCAATACAGAGTTTAGGATTTGGGTTTCTCCTTTTGGGAAGGCTCCCCTATGCATTGTGCCTTTCTGCAGCCAGACTTTGTTGAGTGGCGTTTTGTGTCGCGCTCGTCCTGCCTTTTCTGATGCCTGCTTTAAGGATAGCTCCGTAGCCCTGCTTGCCCTTCATTGAGCCCATGCTTTTGGTGACCTCATGTTGCCTTGAATACCTTGTGGTTTTCTGGGGTCGGATGGGCATCGTGCAGATTCGGTGAGCGACACATTGCGCTGCCTTGTCAGGAATGCACGGCGAGGGTCGCTACGAATGGCCCGATGGCCGAGCATACGAAGGCCGGCAGTTCTTCACGGTAAAGAGAAGTCGCCGGATCACTGTCTTCGGCTTTCCTGAGCTTTCCTGAGTTCGAAAGCTCCTCAGCCCCTGTAAGCCCGAAACCCTCAACCCTAAACCCTGAACCCTAAACGGCCCTAAACCCTACACCCTAAACGGCCCTAAACCCTAAACCCGGCTCTTTGACGTGCAGATTCTTACATATCTGGCTCAGAGAAGTCATGGAGCTGTCCTTTGCAACATGTCCAGCCTGTTCGTCGGAATCCCTACCAGGTTTCGGGTTCAGGGTCTATAGGGCTAGGGTTCTCCAACAATGCCCCCAGACCCCCCAACCTTTAGTTAAGGGTTGTGGCGCCATCATCCCGCACCCCCGAGTTCAGTTCGCTGCGGGCTTTCCCTGCCAGGCCAGTACATCAACGACCTCAAGGTCTGGCCTGGGGGTGTAGCGTTTCGTGCCCCAGGTCTGGGAAATTTATTTAAGAGGGTAAGTACGGAAGGGCTTTGGAGAATGCAGTGGCTCAAGGCATCACTTAAGCCATCTTAAGCCACAGGGGTTGGGAGGTGAGGTGCCGCTAGGAGGATCCTACGATGCACCCCGAAAAACAAGGACACGGCGCGGTTAGCGGCCGTGGGCCGTAAGCACACCGAAATGTGGTTTTAACCCACGCATGACAGTGTTTCGCTGTTCAAACGTGTTTTGCGGAGACCATTTTTTGTTAACGTGCAGTGAATCCTAGGCAATTGTTGTAGTCAAAGGTACCACGCCAACCAGTGTTTTGAGTGTTTTGACATCCTCATATTATGAGTAGGTTTTTGCACGTTTTGTGTGTTTTTGCGGTTCGGTGTTTTGTGGTTGTTTAGGGCCTTGGGTCCTCGCTGTCGCTCTCCCAACCGCTTCCCCAGGCTTAGGTTGTAAGGTTTTGGGTTGTCAGGGTCTAGGGTTTAGGGTTTATGGTATAGCCCAGGGTGCTGTAAGGGTTTAGGGTTTAGTGTTTAGGTTTAAGGTTTCAGGGCTTATAGGCTTTAGGCAGTTTACGGCTCAGGGTCCAGAAACAAGAAAGAAGAAGCGTGAAGACATGCCCGCAACCACCCCCCCCCCTCCCCCCTCCCCCTTCCCTCAGAAGCACGAAAAAGTTGTAGAATCAGCGTTCCGCCCACGGCCGCTAACCGCGCCGTGAGCAAAAACAACCCTCAGCAGAAAGCTAGTACACTTACTACCTTGGGAACGAAATGAATCGTAAAATTGGGGGTCATATACCCCGACTACTATAATTTCTATGAAGGTACATGAACCATAAACCCTTTTAGGGTTCATTCGGTCCCCAAGGTAAGCTCCCTCAAAGGCTCCCCAACCTGAGCCCCTGTCCAGTATAGCGCCTGTAGTAGGCCATTTGCCTCCACGACATCCGGCTTTAGCGCTCACAGGGTATCAGGGCGGGTTTTAGGATTCCATATGAATCTAGACTATATAGGGTTACAGGCTGGGGCTTGGAGCGTTTAGAATGTTTAGTGGGTTTAGAGGGTTGTTTGAAGCAGTGCCAGGAAGGCGAGGGCACCTTCCTGTGGGCGGATGGGTGCTGGCCCTGGATGAAGTGTTCAGTGTTCAGGGGTTTAGGATTTTGGGTTCAGGGTTTGGGGGCTCCGGGGGCTTTCTCCACACAGTTCTGACAACAAACTCACCGAACTAACAACACCCCAATTAAACAACATTTCCGGAAGACCACTCCCCTCTGCCTGCGAAAAGGTCCAAGTAGCATTTCTCAGGGTGCCTCACTTCCCTGTGCGCGGTAGAAGACGTCAGACACATGTTGAAAGCCATAAGGCGGTAAGTTAAGAAAAGGGTTCGAGTTCGGGTTTCTTCCATGGCTTTAAACCTACACCCTACACCCTAAACCCTAAACCCTAAACCCTAAACCCTAAACCCTAAACCCTAAACCCTAAACAGCACTGAGGCGAAAGTTCACCGGCCAATGGAAGGATGGCAAGCAGCACGGCGTTGGAGTTTCCTGGTGGCATACTTGGTAGTCCTTTAGGGGTTTTTAGGGTTAAGGGTTTTTAGGGTTTGGGGTTTAGGGATTAGTTTAGGGTTTAGGGCTTAGGGTTTAAGTTTAGGGTTTAGGGTTTGGGGTTTAGGGTTTAGTTTAGGGTCCAGTGGTATCCGTTTGACCGTTAGTTCTAGGTAGCCAACCCCCAAAAATGGTACTCTTTTTGAAAATCTGGTTGTTGGGCTGACCCTGGTTTGAGCAAGTTTTGGACCTCCGCACCGCACATCCACGCGCGTGCGTCTGCTTCAGGTTTTCCGAACTGCCCACGGAGACCAGCGAACGGGCGAGTGGCGAGAGGCCCGCACAGCATTTTGCCTGTTGCATCGTTATTAAAACTGTTGGTTGTTGAGCTTGGTTCACCGTATACTCTTATAAAGTGGAGTACGTCTTTTTATGCAGTACGCTCAATGATGACAGAGGGCAAGGCTTCTAGCTCTCCGATCGATTGGGTCTGAATGAGGGCAAAGACGGAGCTTTGTAGCCTAAGTCGTTGACATCCCGTGTAAGCCAAGAGCCGTGCAAAGACATGTTGTATATCATCAATCTTGGAAAGTTCTGAACACGAAGGGCATATGATCGTTCCTTTTCAGAGAGCACGGCTGCTAGTCTTCATGCGACTTGCATCGGTTCTGTTGGCATATGCTGTGCTCCTGATTGCTGATACGTTAACATCGAAGTCGATGCAGTGAGCCGGTGCTGCCTTGCTCTTCGGAGTCGCCCCTTGAACGTTGAACCCGCCCGCCCTCGGCCACGAAGACCCTAGACCCTAAACCCTAAACCCTAAACCCTAAACCCTAAACCCTAAACCCTAAACCCTAAACCGACCCAACATCACGACAAGCTAAGCTCCACATCATGCCGGGCCAGGGTGTCCGAGTCTGCTGGGTGGACGAGGCTGACAGCCCTAAATCCCTAAATCCCTAAATCCCTAAATCCCTAAATCCCTAAATCCCTAAATCCCTAAATCCCTAAATCCCTACTTGGAGGTACTAACCAACTATAACTGCACTTGTAACCCACTTGTAAGCCCCTTAAGTGCCACCATGAACTTCCAAGTACACCCTGTGGTGGTCTGAAGTTCAATAGGCCGTGGGGCACTTGCTGTGCATCTACTCGAAGGTCAATACTCCTTCAACTACCGCCGATGTCGTGCATATTTGTGCGCAGAGGTAGACGGTAATGCCCCCCCCCCCGCCCGGCAGCTCTTGCTCCCCGCTTGTAGACCAAGCAGACCAAGCAATACGCGGCGTGACCCAAACTCATGAACCAATGAGGCCCCCTTTTGCAGGGGTCTATTCAGGAATCTGGAAAATCAGGGGGTGGGGGGGGGGGGGGGGAGAAGGTCGGGTTTAGCGGGTCTAACACTCTAAGTCTGAACCCTCATGAGTCTCTTTGCCCTAGCTTTCCAAGCCCCTCTCTCCTTAAGGTGACATTCCGAGTGGTGAGTAGCTTCTTGCATTAGAGGGTTCGCGAGATTCGGCTTGGGTTGGGGCGTTTCGTTTAATTTGTTTTGGACATAGTTATTTCGACTTTCCCGCAAGACTTTCCTGCCCTAAACCCCGAACCCTCCTGCCCCACGCAGGCACCAAACAACGTGCAGGCGTAATCTGAGCCTCCTCCGTTGTTTGCAGTCTTTCGGTCTCAGCCCGAGCACTGCTGCGACCCATATAACCCTAATTTTTTGGCAGGGTTCAGATTTCGGGATTGGAGGCTTCAGCCAAAGTTTAGGCGTGATTATTTGGGGCGCTGAGCCGTTGGGCTTCCACAGGTATTTGTTGAGGATGGTCTCTTGTTGGAGTAGCGCCCCGCCGCAGAATTGCTGCCTTAAACCCTAATCCCTAGACTCCAAACTCCGTGATCTAACGATGCTCTCGGGTTTGGCTCTTGAGCCAATGATGTCACGAGCACTTACGTTACTGTACCTAAGCCCTGAAAGCCCTCAAGCCCAATATCCAAAAAGGGCCATACTTTCAATATCTACACCCGAAACCATAAACCCTAAACCCTATACCCTAAACCCGAAACCCTAAACCGTAAGCCCTAAACCCTAAATCCTACCCATTTGGTTTCAAGCCCCTTGCATTCCAACCACCCGCAGCACTACTGACGGGGGCTGTGGTCCAAAGCTGCCAGCCACGTTAAGACATGGGGCATTTCCCAAAATAGGGATACCCTTTTGGGGGGTTTAGGGTTTAGGGTTTGGGGTTTAGGGTTTATTGTTTAGGGTTTAGGGTCTCCAAAAATTACGGGTGATAGTGGAATCTGTGAAGTTCGGGGTACCCCTTTTTTGGGAAATACCCACGTTCACCTGCACCGTCACTTCGATCAGCCGTTTGCGCACTTGATGCGTCAGGGGCTGTAGTAGGCGCCAAGCATAGCTCAGGTTAGGGTTTAGGGTTTAGGGTTTAGAGTTTAGGGTTTAGGGTTTAGGGTTAGGGTTTAAGGTTTAGGGTTTAGGGTTTAGGGTTTAGGATTTAGGGTGTAGGGTTTAGGGTTTAGGGTTTAATTAGCGTTTAGGGTTTAGG